TGTCTGTGAGCCAGGAACCTCCACCATGAGACCAAAACATCTGTCTGTGAGCCAGGAACCTCCACCATTAGACCAAAACATCTGTCTGTGAGCTTGGCTAACAAGAGACCCTTTTTGTTGTTTTCTTGCTTTGTTAGTTTGAACTCAGTTGTTTTCAAAGTTGTTAGTTTTAAAGTAATTGGGGAAAAAAAAGTAACAAAAACCAAGTCTTAAACTAAAATATACGTCACATGGATAACACAACACATCACGTTGTGTCGGCATTTAACAGAAATTAACCCTAAATATAAAAGCAGTGTCTGTAAACTTCCAAGATGTTTTATTTTTTCTTACACCCAGACACTAAATTAATCTAGTTTTTAACTAAGATGTTCTTCGGTTGAGGTTCCTAATTAAGATTACATTAAGATTCACTGCTAAATAAGCATCATGTTCAACCGAGACAACCTTTGGATACCATCAAAATTATCGTTGCAAATATAATCCAGAGAGTGGGAGAAGAAAAAAATTAAGATGAACATTTCTTACCGAGGCGATTTTGTGCCAAACTTAGTTTGTGGAGAGAATGCACCATCTTCAGAGCAGCCACCAGCTGCAGGAGTCTTTCTCCTTGGTTAGAGCACTTTTCCAGAAGACGACAGTCACTCAGTCGAAGCTCTGAGACAAAAAATAAATAAGTTCTGCCGTTACTAGATTTTGGGGACATTAGAAATCATGGACTTAGAGTCAAGATGAAGGTTCTTATACAATCTACAGTCATGCAGGCTGAACTACAAGATCTAAAACTGAAGAAGGAGGAAGAAGGAAAAGCTAACACATCTGGAATTATTTCAAAATGTACCGTGTCCAAGTACTTCCTTGTTTTTTTACCTTCCAACTTGCAGCTTCTCAGCAGGTTCAAGATCTCTGGGAGACAATCACACAGTTTTATGTCCTCAAAGTGGAGAACCCTGAGTTGGCAGTTTGACTCTGAAAGGTGACCAGATGTGATTACTGAACACTTCAAAAGAACGTTTGCTTTAAAATAAATCAGTAGGGACAAAAATGTGTTAAAATTAGATGCTGACTAAAAAGAAGCAACAAAAAAAAGAGGCCAAACAAAGTTTACTGTTTCCAAGTACTGTCGCTGCATCTTTATATTTTAGTGAACACTGTTCACTGAGCATCTGTTTAGGATGCCTTCTGGACGCCTCCCTGGTGAGGTGTTTCGGACACGTCCCACCGGAAGGAGGCCCAGAGGAAGACCCAGGACACGCTGGAGGGACTATGTTTCTCGGCTGGCCTGGGAACGACTCGGGATTCCCCCGGAAAAGCTGGCCCAAGTGGCTGGGGAGAGGGAAGTCTGGGCCTCCCTACTTAGACTGCTACCCCCACGACCCGACCCCGGATAAGCGGAAGAAAATGGATGGATGGACTGTTCACGTGGGCACTGAAGTTCCTCAGCAGAATTAAGGAGTCCCCAGCTGGAGCATCTTCCAGCACCCCTGCTGGACTCCAAGAAGACTGGATACTCTGAACTGCTGTTCAGCACATGGGCACAAACAACAGTCAGAACCCGTCCCCTCACCTGAAGAAGCAGGGAAGCTATCCTCTCATCTACTGGGAAAACTCCAACACACAGACAACAAGTCGGGGTCTAAGGGTAGACCCACACCAGCTCATCGCCACTCACCATGGGCAACTCCAGAGTGGGATATGGTCCAGCCCCTCTCAAGGAGATTGGCTCCAGAACCCATATCATGCATCAAGGTGGGCCTGACTATATCTAGTCGGTATCTCTCAAGCTCACACACAAACTCAGGCTTTGTCTCCACCAAAGAGGCGACAGTAGGCCTGTCACGATAACAAATTTTGCTGGGCGATTAATTGTCTCAGAAATGATTGCGATAAATTATAATATAGTTTGAAATTTGACAATAATGAGTAATTATTGTCAAATTTAAGAAGAAATGTTGGTTAATTTGTTTTGCATGTAGTAAATTTTATCAACCACCGGATGGCAGTATAAGACCGTTTGAACTGAAGGATGGATAGTGAGGGAGCAAGCAGCGTTTCTCTAAGAAAAATGGGAGGGAGGCCTCTTGACATGACATGAAATGTCTCTCCTTCCTTTATCCGGTTCTCAAAATGACGGACGCTTTGTGTGGTTTGAGCTCTTTCGCATAGCATTTTTCACACAAAGCTTTTAATTTACAAAAATCAGTAAACAAGTTCTCAGCTTCTTTTTGCAGAGAAAAACTTTTTACACGAAGGCACGGGTCTCAACCGTGAATTTTGGAGCTTTGACAAGACGGAGTTTTTTCCCCCCCGAGGTTGGCCTGGTGGCTTAGCTCGTCGCTTAGCTTCTCAGCTTAGCTGCTTTTAACAATACAAAAACGTGATTTTGGACGGTTAAAATGGATTTTAAAGAGAAAAGAGGAAGGGAGGTGTCAATGAAGAGCACCGGAGATGAGCCTTTTATCATCCGGTGTCTTCAGTAGAGACCAAGAAATGATAAAAGTCGATAAATGAAAATGAGGTTAATAATTTTCATTTATCATGCAATTAATTGATTTATTGTTTATCGCGACAGGTCTAGGCGACAGTCCATGTCCCAAGAGCCAGCTTTGGTAAGCCAGGGTCAGAGCGCCAAGGCCTTCAGCTACCACCCATGGCGTCATGCAGGTGACTCGTACGGCCCCTCCTGCAGATGGTGGGCCCACAGGAAGGCAAATCCATGTAACTCATTCAGGCTGAGTCTGACCAGGAGCCGTGTTTAGCCAATTATAGACTTATATCTACAATGTTACAATGTTGTTCTTGTTTTAGCCAACAGCCAACATGAACACCTCTGGTTGGTCAGCCATCTCCTGTTTGTCAGTCTGGAGCTGGAAGTGCCACAGTATCATTCTCCTCCACCTGCACCTGGTGGTCAGGAGGACCACAGCTTTAATGGATGTGGATGCAAAAACTGGCACGGGAGGATTCTGGAGACAAACTGAAGGAACTTCTGTAGGCCTCGGAGGAGCTTGTGGCAAATTGTCCAGCGACTCAGAAAAGGATGAGTCAAATGTGTCCCTTAGCAGAAGATGACTTTAATTTAAAACTCGTCAAAAGTGACAGGAATCCCATCAAGGAATGTTAGGCCTGACATGTCCCTGCAGGGGTCCTGCTGCAGAAAACACCCCCGTTTAGGAACCACGGTGAAGCCACTGTACCTGAGAGTGTTGTGAGGAGTTGGCTCTGAGTGGAACCAGTGGGTCTTAGTCCAGCTAGGTGAAGAGAGGTGAGACGTGGACAGCGTCTCAGCAGAGACATGATGGACCGCAGGTCTGTTTGGTCTTCAGTTAGCTTCACTGTTAGCTTCTCCAGAGACAGCTCAGCTGAAAACAGGAGAGGACAGTCATTCATATTCTTACACTTTAATCACATCTGATTCATAAAAACTAATGTTCTGAAAGAGAAAAATATAACACCTTTCAAGTTTTAATGAGCCATTGAGTTGTCAAAGAGAAAATGTTTTGTTTTAATATATATAAAGACTCCTTTCGTTATATTTGTTATTCTTCTGTGTTTAGTTCTTAGAGGTCAATTTAAATGTTTTTTCTTTTTCTTTTGAGTAAAAAAGGCAGGATGAAACATATTTTTGAGCCTTGCTCCAAGTAAGGAGGCAGCACCTGAAGAGCTGGAGACGACAGACGGGGGACGATCCGGGATGAAGCGTGGTCCCCACAGGACCCTCTGGACCTCCAGGTACAAGGACGTGAGCCTGGGGAAGGCGTCCAGCAGGGTCGTCATGAGTCTGGTGCAGGGCAGGATGCTGAGGCTCAGATCAGAGAGGCTGCTGCAGGAGCTGTCAGAGAGCTTCTTCAGGGCTGCTGCCAGGTCCAACACATCCACCTCCCTGAAGAGCGCTGAAGCTGCACACCAGAACAAACATCTGAGCTACTGAAGGAGGGACAACACGCTGCTCTGTTCACAACTAATAGAGTAAATGTTCATGAAGCATTCACACATTTGGGATCCATTTTTCTTCCATACACTTTTTGGCATCTTTCTCATTCCACAATTTTTGTGCTATTTCAACAAATCAAAATGTTCAGCTCTTTTAGGGCAATCCTGCTATGACTTTTGGTATTGCAACGTGCAACTTTAGCTTTTTGAAATATTTAGCCTTTTCTGCCAGTTTTTTCCTCATAGAAAATGGATTGAGCTCATTTTACATCCTTCAAATCTTTAGATCTGTTTACAACCTTTAACTGCTCCTTCCACAATTTGTTCTGGTACAGCTTCTTTTAGCTTCCTTGTACAAATTAAAACATTTTTCAGCTAATTTCAGCTTTTTTTTTCCAGCTGTTTTGTGCTCCTTTTAGATTCTTTTTTCTAACTGCAACATTTTTGTGCATCTTCTAGCTTCATTCTGTTAATTTCAGCTTATGCTTTTTTCCTTCTATTTTCAGCTTTTTCCTGCTATTTCAGCTAGTATTTAGCTGTTTTTGTCCTAATTTTAGCTTTATTGGCTAATTCCACATTTTTTGCACTCATTTCAACTTTTTCAGCCTAATTCGACAAAAATGTGCTCTTCACTTCTTTCTGGCTATTTAAGCTTCTTTCTGCTTTTTAAAGTACTTTTCAGCTGGTTTTTTTTTGCTAATTTCAGTTTTTTTCAAATAATTTCCACTTTTTGTGCTTGTTTCTTCTTTAACCCTAATTGGGCAAACATGTTCTTTCTGCTCTCTTCTGCTAATTTAAGCTTGTTCTATATATTCAGCTACTTTTTAGCATTTTTAGCTAATTTCAGCTGTTTTCAGATAAATTCAAGTTTTTTTTAGGTAATTTCTGCTACTTTCAGCTCAATTAACTTATTTCTGCTAATCTCAGCTTGTTCAGCTTTTTTCTGCTAGTTTCAGCTTTTTCTGCTATTTCAGCTACTATTTAGCTGTTTTTGTGCTAAACTGAACTTTTTCAGCTAATTCCACATTTTTTTTAGCTAATTTCAGCTCCTTCCATCTTCTTCTGGTAGTTTAAGCCTTTTCAACTATCCATCCATCCATCCATTTTCTTTACCCGCTTATTCCATTTTGGGTCACGGGGGTCGCTGGTGCCCATGTCCAGCAATCACTGTGCGAGGGGCGGGGTACACCCTGGACGGGTCGCAAGTACATCACAGGGCCACATAGAGACAAACGAGACAAACAACCATTCACTCTCTCACTCACACCTAGGGACAATTTTAGAGTTACCAATCAGCCTAACATGCATGTTTTTGGACTGTGGGAGGAAACCGGAGTACCCGGAGAAAACCCACGCATGCACGGAGAGAACATGCAAACTCCACCCAGAAAGGCCCCTGGACCGGGGTTTGAACCAGGGACCTGCTTGCTGAGAGGCAGCAGCTCTACCAGTTGCGCCACCGTGCTGCCCCTTTTCAACTATTTTAGCTAAATTCAGATTTTTTTAGCTTCCTAATTGTGCTCATTTCTGCTTATTTAAACCTAATTCAGCAAATGTGTTCTTTCTGCTTTCTTCTGCTTGTTCTTCCATTTTTTTAAGCTCATTTCAGCTGTTTTTCAGCAAGTTTTTCAATAATAAGCATTCACTGCATTTTTGCAGGAAATGAAATTTCTCTAGTTCTTCAGTAAATTATGATTAGCTTTGAGTGGACACGATGGAGGGTTGGGCTCAGTGGCCACCTGTTAAATGAACTGGCTAGTTTTTCTGTCAAATCCTTTCAAGTGTGTGGATGTACTGGTGTCTGATCCTGCTAAGTGTCTGCCTCTGTGATGCTGTCCAGCTCACAGGGAGCTGACTACACTGGACATGTAGAGAGGACAGAAGTCCTCTCAGTCCTCCTATCCCTGTCCTCCTCAACCTCTGATTCAGACATTTGTGTGTCTCTGCGTTAGATAAGTCAGTACAAGAGTCAAGTATTTAGTGTCCTGTCATTGTTTCAGAAGTAATAAAATATTTATGTAGGCCCCCTGCATGCGTCCCCAAACAGAGAAATCCAGAATAAACTTACTGCTGCTGTGAAGAGTCAGGGAGCGAAGGCAGAAAAATGTGGGCAGAGCAGAATTTAAGACTTTAAAAGAACCAGATCCACAATATCTGAGGTCCAGAGAAGTAATCCGTCCCCACGGACAAGGTCCAGCTGACGGAGCAGAACCTGGACCAAGAGTCCGACAGAGAACCTGTGGGTCCACGGTAAAGGTTGATCCTTCAGGTTCTTCAGAGTCCAGTCTAGCACGTTTGCATGGAGTGACATGATCCCTCTGATCATTAGGAGCAGGACTGTGATGGGCTGAAGGAGGACAGCTGGACCGCAGTAAGCTCTTCAGCTCCACATTCATAGACTGAGGGCCCCGTCCACGTAGGAGCCAGGCCAGAGTGCTGGGACACTCAGTGTGTAGAACAAGTTGTGTAGCAGAGCCGTGGTCGAGCAGACGGTGGAAGATGTACAGAACCGTCTGGATGTTGCTCCGGGACAAACTCCAGGAGGGGGAAACGCCAACAGTTTTGATGTGCCCCTCCAAGAGGCTCAGAAGAGGCCTCTGATCAGACGTTAACGTCTGAAGGGGTCCATGAAGGCTTGGAATGACTAAAAAGTACTGAATGTATTTGGCTGCAGCCCACAAGAAAGAATTGTTTTTTAAATTGGTGCTGTTTTTCAGAACGTAGTGGTTCTTAAAGCTGTAGAACACCAGAGTAAAAAGATTTCTCATGACTTCATGTTTGGCCTTTTCTTCTGTGTCGAAGTCTAGTGGCTGAAAGACAACGAGAGGAACCACATCCATCAGAATTCTAGAAAACATGTCCAACCTTTTCAACAGAAGACAAAAGGTGCACCTACGTTGCAATGACCACCTAAATCTTGCAGGATCCGAATCCATCCAGAGTGAGTGGAAACACCTGGAACACAGAGCAGCCATTACATGGACCCAGCATCATATTCAGCTTGAAATAAAAAGAGAACATTAGAATGATTTAATAAATAAATTAAAAACTACACAATTCTATTATGCCCTGTGATGGACTTGCGACCTGTCCAGGGTGTACCCCGCCCCTCGCACAGTGATTGCTGGACATGGGCACCAGCGACCCCTGTGACCCAAAATGGAATAAACGGGTAAAGATAATGGATGGATGGATGAACAATTCTATTATTTAAAAAAAAAAAGTTTTTTGAAACAATTCTGACAAAATAAAAAGAGAAAACAAAAACAGGTTTTAAGGATTTTTTGGGACTTTGTCAGTAATGAATGGATGTTTTTAACAACACAAAGAATAAATCACTTCACATAAACAAAAAATAATTAAATTAAAAATTAATGTGTGGCTGGTTTGTCCCACGAGACTCTCTGAGGGACAGAAACATCATCTCTCAACAACTATCTGCTTTTCTTATTTCAGCTTCCAGAAGTCAGCAAGATGAACAAAAAGTGGACCTCATGGTAATTAGTCATCTTTAGTCAAGATGCATAGGTGTCACATTAACTATCTGCGAAGGGGGTGTGTCCCCCTCACACTTAAAAAACATTTGTTTGGAAAACACCCCCCCCACACACACACACACACACACACACAACTACCATGAAACATTAGTTCACCCAACGCTGTTTCTATTGCTTTATGAACAAATCCAATAGGAGAATACTCAAACTAGTGTTGTGTTCAAGACCACCTAACCCGAGACCAAATCAAGACCAAGACCTCAAATAATTTTTTTTTAATTATAAAATATTTTTTATAAAAGGTATACTGCAACTTTAAGTTTGCTTTTGAATGAATATATCGGCTTTTATAAACTTTCCAAGCTACATAACAAAGAAATCAGACATTCAGTGGCCTAACTTCATGTGATTCAACAATAAAATTACACAACTGTTAAATTGGAAGCAGTTTCATCACATGCCAAACCTTAAAAACTGACAAAACACTCTTCATAAGTCCAAACTCAACACCAAGGAAAACCAAAGTGCACCCCTAAAGTCATTGTTTGTGATAAACTGTGTCACATTAATTTCATTATCTTAGCCATGGGAGTGAGTTTAAAAACAGGGTGATGTATATACGGACTGGTTGAACGAGGAATGTGTCTCTAAAATAGTCATTGAATCAAGTGTTTACTTATGCAGGTAAATGTTTAACAACCTGTTAAAATGCACCAGAATGCAGGAAATGGCATCTACTTTATTCAAATTTTTGAATTTTGAACCCCCCCACCCCCCACCCCCCCAACAGTGTGTCGCCCCCATTACAAATGTTTCTGAGCCCCTGTCAAGATGAAACATCCAAAGCCAATTTCACCCACTTTTAGAGAATTTGTTTTTTATTTTAAAAAAGCAACCAGTAACTATCTAACCCAATTTTTTTTATCTTAAAACTTATCCATTAATGGGAGCTGTTAAACCAAGTTCCACATTCTTTAGAACTGTGTGTGAAGCACGTGAAGGAACCAAACAGAGGCTGGTTCCTGGGGGGAGCAGCGGCCCTCACCTCTGAGGTTCAGAGCAGGCTGGACTTCATGCAGCTGGCACACGGTCAGGTGGGGAAGAAGATCCACAATGAGACTCGTTGGAATAGCTGCGTTTAAAGAGAGGGAGATAAGAAAAAATAAAAATAAAAAAACACTCATCACTGCTGAAAAAAACCCACTTTACAGAAACTAAATTAAATCACAGCAGCTATGGATGAAGACTGGTGGTATACTGCTATGGAACTAGCTCTTCTTCAAAGAACGCACATCGCCTACTGTGCATTTTTGAACAGTTTATTAAAATTGTAACATTTTGAATCAATAACATCCACCCCAGCACCTGCCCCTAACAAACAAGAAAAACAAACAAACCACACGGACAGTAAATTACATGAATATAAGAAATAAACCATCTATAATGCACGTCACTGTGGTCCAGAAGGATCTGATCATCTGGACCTTTAACATGACAGAAAGACACGTTGAGAGACGTTTCACCCTCCATCCAAACTTTGATGTCTTGAACCACTTTGGCCGTGGTTGCCTGGGAGGAGTCGACGGGGAGAGGACAGCCCCCAGAAACCATCTTATCACCAGTAAACTGGTTGGTCCACTGTAGGAGTTTTCTGCTTGGTGGGGAAAAAAGTTTGTCTGTGACTTCTCAGATTGATGAAGTCCATTGGATGGAGGGTGAAACGTCTCTCAACAACAACAAAAAAAGGAACTGTTCCGATGACCTGACTGAACATCGTTGGACAAATTCCAGTTTGTGTCCATAGGGCTGACACATTGACCAGTTTAAGACTGGGCTACACTTTCCTTTTGGATAAATCCTATAGTTAGGGTTGGCTTGTTATGCTGCCATAGGCTTAGACTACTGGAGGACAAACTGCCCTAATTTATTAAAATTAATTGTTGCAAATGAATAGTTTTCATTTGAAATTATTTCTGTTATTCTCAAATTGCCTTTGTGTATCCGTTCTTACTTCCTGTCCTCTCAAACCCAGACGGTTGAAGCAGATAACCAATTGTCCTGAGCCTGGTTCTGCTTTCTTCCTCATTAAACTAGTTTTTGAATGAAAATTAAAATTTTGAGATTTTTCAGTTTGGTTTTAACCAGTTATACAGCACAAAAACAGCCTTGGTAAGAGTCTGTAACAACATTCTTTTAGTGAATGATCCTGGTCAGTTTGTGATCCTTGTACTCCTTGACCTTACCACTGCATTTGATGCTGTGGACCACAGTATCCTTTTATCACAGTTAGAACACTGGGTTGGTGTGGCCTTAGAATGGTTTCGTTGGTTCATATCTGAGCGGGAGTAATTTTTGTGTTAATGTTGGTAATAGTTTATTTGCTTCAGTACCTCTTTCTTGAGGGGTCCAACAGGGCTCTATTCTTGGACTCCTTGATTTCATTGCCTCTGCTCCCTGCTGTGATCTGATTTATTATTTCATTATTTCTCATTGTCATGTTTTATGTTTTTATTCCTGATGCTGTTTTTTATTTCATGCTGTGATCTTATAAGCACTTTGGTAACAGTTGCTGTTTCAGATGCTTTAAATGAGCTTTTCCTTTCCGCTGCAGATAAAACCCGATTCTTCAGCTGTTTCATTTTCCAACAAACTTCCAGATTCTGATCAACTTTATAAGGAAAACATTTGTTAATTTAAATAGAGACGAGTCCTGCTAATATAGAAGGCATAACCTTCTTATAAAAAATAAAATTATTGAACCATTTCCTCGTGACTCACACAGAACAGCGTCAGCCCCCAGAGCAGAGAAATGGGTCCTGATGGCCTGGAAACATCTGGATCTCAGACTTGGTGCAGCTGAGCTCTTTGGGTCCTCCATCGTTTGTTCGACACCGCAGACAACAATATTAGCTTCTCGTCCACTGGAGGTTCTTCTTCTATTTTTCTTTAACGGATGGAAAACCGTGTGAAAGGTGCATTACTGACCCCTGCTGGCCGTGAATACCTGTTACCATTTATTTATTGTTATTCCGGATACATTTCTTGTACAAATTGCAAGTTTGCATTTATATGTATACAGCCTGCCCCTTTTAAAAATATGGTTCTTATTCTTCTATCGTATTCTATATTTTTTATTCTTCTTTTATACTCTTTATACTTTATCCAGCTGGTTCATGTTCGTAGTACGGTGGCCGACGTGTTTGTGACCAATTTGCAACCAATTTCATTCTGCAGTGCATCTCTGATGTTATGCTGAATTACAATAAAGATAATCTGAATGTGGACAGCTTTCACCGGAAAAGGAATGGACAAAACAGACAAGAAAAAAAAATCCTTAAAGGGTTAAAATAAAAATAAATAAAAAAATATATTTTTTTATTTCAGGCTGAGACAGCTCTAAAGACCAACTAGTTTTTGTGGAATATTTTAAAATATTATTTTTAAGCAGTTCAATAAGGTGGTTGATTTTCTCCCTGAGGAGCATGAAAAGTACTAAAGTTAAAGGGTTAAAGCTGTCTTATTCAAATGTACACAATATGCTTTTGATGTCCATCAGATTTTGTTCAACCATTCATTGCAAAATCCTAAGGTCCAAGTAATCAACGCAGTTCTTTAATGTCTGACCAGTCAACGCATGGTTCGACCAATTAATGCACAGTACTGTAAGGTCCAGTAACACTGATAAGTCACTGGAGAGTCCTTATTGAGCTCATTCTGAAGCAGTTTTATGGATTTAATTATGATTGTATTGTATACAAACACAACAGAGAAGAACTCCAAATGGTTTTAGGGACTGTGAAGCAGTCCTCTGGTCCAAAAGTACTGAATGGGTCAGGTCACTCCAGAGATCACATCAGATCATGAAGTCTTGATCCTCCAGTTTTCTGACCTCCCTCAGTGCATCTTTAATAGGAGTTTACTGCAGGACATGGAGCTGGTATTTTAAAAAACTTCCATTTGTAGAGAAACCAAAACCCCCAACCCATCTGGCCCAAACACCTTCAGACCATTTCTCCTGAGATCACATCATGTAGGACCTGGAAAGACTGGTTTGGACTCACCTTGGGCTACAGGTGACTTGACCCTCTCCAGTTTGCTCCATGTGGGAGTGGATGATGATTCATATAAATAAATGACCGGAAAGTATAATTTTCTTTATTTTTCAGTCAAAAACAAACAAATATTTACATTTATAAACAAATAAATATAGGTCAATACATAATGTGTGGTGGACAGTTTGTTGCTGCTACACAACCTGCCTGTGGTCCTCATGAGAACACTGGTGAAAGACAAAGGAGACGGCAGCATCCCAGGATGCCTTCAGTACTTGGTCCCTCAGGCCCTTCTTGTCCGAGCAGTGGTTCCACTGAGACAGGTCACAGGTGCAGTCAGAGTCCTCTGCAGGTGGTTTCACCTGTCTGCCATTCACACAGCGACGACAGCGGAACCTGCCAGCAACACAGGAGGCAGGGGCAAAAATCAGAGTGACCGTATTCATTTGACATAAACATTTAGAAAGTCACATCACTACTGTACTCGGCCCAGATCATTTAATTTATTAATGGTGGTGGAGGAAGTCAGCGCTGGGGGGACCTTGAGACTGTGCAGGTGGAGTGGAGGAATGAGTGAAACAGCACCACAGACGGTGCTCTTTGTATTTCATGTCACATCAGCCCACCATGGACTTTGTTGCGTTTCTGAATTTATGTTTGTCTTGATGTTTCTGTTGATCTTTCTAAATTGAATTGTAGGATTTTTAGAGCTTCGGCTGCAGCTCAGTTCTAGAAGGAATTGTTGATGTGCTCTCGATGAAGTGCAGCTGCTAAGGTTTTATTTTCCATCCATCATCATGTTCTGGACTCCGCTCTCTGGGCAGTAGTTTGAGCAGGGAGGTCCAGACATCTCTTTCCACAGCCACCTCTTCCAAAGGGATTCCAAGGCGTTCCCAGGCCAGCTGAGGGACATAATCTCTCCAGCAAGTCCTGGGTCTTCTCTGGGGTCTCTTCCCATTTAGACATGCCCAGAGTACCCCCTAGGGAGGTGTCCAGGGGTTATCCTTACTAGATGGTTGAACCACCTCAACTAGCTACTCTGGATGTGGAGGAGAAGCAGCTCTACTCCGAGTCTCTCCTGAAGAACTGAACTTTTCACTCTCTCTTAGGGATAGTCCAGCTACCCTGCAGAGAAAACTAATTTAGGCATCCTGGATCCACAATCTGGTTCCTTCAGTCTCTACCCAGAATTCATTACCATAGGTGAGGGTAGGAACATAGACTGACCAGTAAACAGAGAGCTTCTCCTTATAGCTCAGCTCCCTCTTCATTACAATGGACTGGCACAAATCAGCAGCAGATAAAGTGACAATCCCAAAAACTTTATTAGAAAAACATCAGGTTAGACTAAATGGTGTCTTACTTGTCATGCGTGTCGCTGGTCGTCCCTTCGTTGAGCGTGAAGAGTTCTCGGAGTTCTCCCAGAGAGAAGTGACGTTCCACGTCCTGCTCCTCATCTACCACACAGCTGCTCAGGGCTTTCTTGTGGGCCTGTCTCTGCAGGATCTTCTCCTCGATGGTCCCAGTCTGTTATAAAACACTACATGTAAACCTTCTGCACCCCTACAGCAGTGAGTTCAGTAACTTGTTTAACCAATGTGGTGTGTTTGACTTACAGCCAGCAGTCTGTAGATGTAGCAGGTTTTCTTCTGGCCGTCTCTCCACACACGAGCCATGGCCTGCTCATCGTTGGCTGGGTTCCAGTCAGGGTCAAACATCACCAGACGGTTTGCGCCAATCAGATTCAGGCCACATCCTCCAGCTTTGCTGCTCAGCATGAAAATGAACTCAGGGCTCTGGGAAACAGATGGAAATAAGGACCCGTTTATGGTTTTCAGAGCTCCAATTTATTTTATTTTTTTAACTGACTTCCAGGCTCACATGTGCACTGTTGAACCTTTCCACAATCTTGGCTCTTTTCTTGATTGACATGGTGCCATCCAGTCTAACATACAGGTATCTGGGAAAAAACACAGGGTGGGGTGAGGGGTAATAGTTAGCTCACTCTCTCTCTAGCCCTAAAACTAAGGAGTTTCATTTATATATGTCTTTGAGTGCCATTTTCATGACTAATCAGGATTTATTTTTAAAAAATTTAATCCATCCATCCATCCTCTACAGCTTATCCATAGTAGAGTTGTGGAGGTAACAGGTCCAGGAGAGAAACCCAGACATCCCTCTCCCAAGCAACACTTTCCAGATCATTCGGGGGACCCCGAGGCGTTCCCAGGCCAGAGAAGATAATCCATCTCTCCAGCAACTTCTGGGTCTTCCCCAGTGCCTCCCAGGGCCTTTCCAATCAAAAACCATGGCCTCAGACTTAGAGAAACTGACTTTCAATCCAGCCGCTTCACACTCTGCTACGAACCGCCCCAATGCATGTTGAAAGTCTTGGCCTTAATATGCTAGCAGAACTACATCATCTGCATAAAGCAGAGATGAGGCCCTGAGGTTCCCAAACAAGACACTCTCCTCTACATGACTGTGCCTCGAAATCCTGTCCATGAAAACTACAAAACTGAAGCATAAACAAGGGACAGCCCTAGCAGAGTCCAACCACTAAGTCCACCGCACTAAGAATGAGCTCGACTTTGTATCAAGAATGCAGACACAGCTCCTGCTTAGGTTATACAGGGACTGGATGGATCTTAAAACCAACCCAGGCATCCGATACCCCTGCAGCAAACTGCACAGAATGCCTCGAGAAACACGGTCATAAGCCTTCTCCAGATCCACAAAACACATGTAGACCAGAGAAGCAAACTCCCATGACCCCCAGCAACTCCGCAAGGGTAAATATCTGGTTTACAATCTGGATGGAGGCCACACTGTTCCTCCTGATTTGGTCGGCGACTTCCTTCCAACACCCTGCAGTAAACTTTCCCAGGGAGGGCGAGAAGTGTGATCCCACAATAGTTGGAATACACATGCCGGTACTCCTTTTTAAAAATAGGAACCACCACCCCAGTCTGCCACACTACAGACATTGTCCCTGTCCTCCATGCAACATTGAAGAGACGTGTCAGCCATGACAGCCCCACAACATCCAGTCCTCAGCATCTTGGAGTGAATCTCATTCACTCCTGGCGCCTTGCCACCAGGGAGTTTTTGACTATCTCGGTGACCTCTGCCATGGTAATGGACTCATCTTCCGCCAAGTCCTCAGAATCTGCCTCCTCATAGTTGGACATGGTGGGTTGATTAAGGAGATCCTCAAAGTGCTCCTTCCACCGCTCAACAATATCTTCAGTTTGGGTCAACAGTTCCCCACCTAAACCAAGATCAGCCTGAGATAGGGTCTGCTTTCCTTTCTTAGTCGCCAAACCGTTTTCCAGAACTTCCTCAAGGTTGACTGAAAGTCCTTCTTCATGGCCTCACGGAATTCCTTCCATGCCTGAGTTTTTACTTTTGCAACCACCAAAGCCACAATCTCTCTGACCACCCCGTATCTGTCAGCTACTTCAGGAGTCCTCTGGAACAACCAAGTCCTGAAGGCCTCCTCCTTCAGCTTGATGACCTGTGTTATCACTGGTGTCCACCAGCGGTCCTTTGGTTGATGTCCCGACAGGCACCAGTGACCTTCAGGCCACAGTTCCTGGAAGTGGCATCTGGAATAGAGTCAGTGAACATAGTCTATTCGAATTCCATGACACAGACCTCCCTCGGGACATGTAAAAAAAACTTTCCCGGAAGTGTGAAATGAAAGCCGCATGAACCGAGGGCTCTGCTAGAATTTCCCAATTCACCCTCACTATGCATCGGGTTTACCAGGTCTGTCAGACAGCCTCCCCCACCACCGGATCCAACTCACCGCCAGGTGGTGATCAGTTGACAGCTCTGCCTCTCTCTTCACCCAAGTGTCCAGAACATAGGGCCACAGGTCCGACAACACAATTACAAAATTGATCATAGATCATTGGCCTAAGGTGGCCTGGTACCAAGTACACTTCTGAACCACCCTATGCTCAAACATGGTGTTTGTTATGGACAACCCATGTCTAGCACAGAAGTCCAATAAGCAAACATAATTTGGGTTCATATCAGGTAGGCCATTCCTCTAAATCACCCCTTTCCACATAATTCTGTCATTGCCCAATGCCAACATGAGCATTGAAGTCACCCAGTAAAACGAGGGAATCCCCAGATGGCACCCCTTCCAAGACACCATCCAGAGACTCCAGAAAGGCTGAGTAATTTGAACTGATGTTTGGTGCACAAGCAAAAACAACAGTCAGAACCTGCCTTCCTGCAGCCAGAAGCCGCAGAGAGGCAACCCTCTTGCTCACAGAGGAAAACTCCAACACCAAGTCACTCAGCTAGGGACTTGCGAGCATCCCCAAACTTGTCCTATGCATCTTTCCATGGGCAACTCTGGAGTAGGAGAGAGTCTGGCCTCCCTCCAGCAGTTGGGTTCCAGAGCCTAAGCTGTGTATAGAGGTGAGCCCAACTGTATCTAGTCAGTACCACTCAACCTCACATATAAGCTTCAGCTCTTTACCCGCTAGTGAGTTGACATTCCACATCTCTAATACTAGTTTGTGCCACCAGGAATTGACATGGCCAGGAACCCTCCCTTGCCTGCCACCTGACATGCACAGCACGGGACCTTAGACAGACCTCGCCTCCTGGTGGTGGATCCATGTGGAGGTGGCTTCCAGTTATTTTTTCCAGGACCCAAAGCTTGACCACCAGGCACTCGCCAGCAAGCTTGCCCCCAGGCATGGCTCCATGGAGGTGCCCTGATTTCCTATTTTCAGGAAAGGTTTCCTGATGCATCTGTTGTTTTTTCATCAAGATTTTGATGATGACATCAAGATGTCAACACTGCAGCATTGTATGAAATAATTACTAAAGATTTGAAAACACTTCAAGAGAAGCTGTCATTGCATTTTCCCACTTCTCTGAGATGTCCTCATTAGGTGGAACAGAAATGTCCAGTATATTTGTTGACCATTCAACGTTAAGTCTAAGGGTGCATTCACACCAGCCCTGTTTAGTCCGCTTTAATCAAACTCTAGCTCGTTTTCCTAGAAAGTCCGGTTCATTTAGGGAGGTGTGAACGCGCCAACGAACTCTGTCACGGAACAAAAAGGCGAACTCTGGCCCGGGCTAAAACCTAGGTCTCGGTCCGGTAGAAGCGAACTCCAGCGCGGTTCGAGTACAGTGTGAATGTAAGCAGACCGAGCCCCGCTCCGCAGGGTAAACAAACACGCATTTCTCTGACCTTATATGGAGCCGTCAGCTGCCTTGTGTGGAAAAACAATATTCTCCATGGTCTTCTGTCTCATCTTCTGCTCATGCTAAGTCCATTTTTGAAAAATGACAAAATATAACTCCTAAAACTGCTAAAACTTGATGCCACTTCGTTTTTGTTTTTATTTACAAAAGAAGAAGAAGACGTGTCTTCAGAGGTTTTTGTGTCGTTTCTTTCAGTAGTTCTTGGTGCAGCGCCCCCACAGGCGAGCGGGGGAATAGGTTGGTTCAACAGGTTGATTCGACTGCACAGTGCAGTGTGAATGCAAACGCATCAGCTCAAATGTAAACAAAAGGTCATGAATATTGGTCCCGAACCGAACCGAGTCTACCGAACTATCTGGTGTGAAAACGACCTAAGTCTTAGTCAGTGGTGCCCAATCCTGGTCCTCCAGGACCACTTTCCTGCACATTTGAGATGCTTCCCTGCTCTTCAAAAGGTATTCAAATTCTGCAGAATCCTGTTTCATCCTCATTCATTCAAATCAGGTACAAAGCAGATAAACATATCCATCTTCTACTGCTTAAATGTAGTCGGTTCGCTAAAGCAACAGGTCCAAGAGAGAAACACAGATTTCTCTCTCCTCAAAGACACTCTCCAAGTCCACCTGGTGGACCCCGAGGTGCTCCCAGACGAGAGAAGATCTATAATCCCTCCAGTGAGTTCTGGGTCTGCCCCAGGGTCTCTTCCCAGTGGAACATGCCTGGAAAACCTCTAAAGGGAGGCGTCCAAATCAGATAAAACACTTCAACTTACTGCTTTTGATACGAAGGAGAATCAGCTCTACTTGAGTTTGTAACGAGAAGATAAAACATTTAAGACAAACATAAACCTCAGATTAGTCTGTAGTCTGTAGACACACATTCAGTCATTATAAAGTCACCTTCTGTGTCTGCACAGCTTTTCAAACAGGTCCAGGGTCTGAGTGTAGTTGGAGACCAGCACCACCTTGTCACTCGTTGTGGTCCGTGTAATTGCCAGAATATAATCCAGAACCAGCATCTTTCCTGCAGCAGAAGAGGAGATAATTCCAGATAAAACCCTCTGAGTGTCAAGGAATGCTCAAAAGCACAGAAATATTACCATACAAAACATGAAGTTTATTCAACACTCACAATTCTGCTGTCAGTTCTGAAGCCTTTTAGTATTTTTATTAAAGTCAGACAGAAATATGAACTGTGCAGCTGAGCAGTCTGACTGCACAAATAAAAAATAATCCACCTCTATACGAGGCTGGTTTTGAAGCTCAGACCTGATTTTTCTAAATGTGGTGGTTTAGATTTATTTATTTCTGGTCAGTGGTCGAACAAAAAGACAGAGATGAGAAGTTCTTCTCTCTGTGTCCCTGTGGCTCTGTGTCCCTGTCTCCGAAGACAAGGGTTACCAACCTGAGAGACCTGAGAGCAGAGATCAGCAGAAAAACATTTACACATTCTCCTCTGTATAAAGCAGAGCATAGACTCCTGGAACAGTGGGGTATTAGTCTCATAACACTGAGTCACCAAACCAAGGTCCATTCCCTGTGAGTCAACATGTCTTTCCTTTACCTGTCTGGAGCCTGTTCAAGATCCAAAATGGACCAACCAGAGCTCTAAAAATGCCTGAAGGCAAAAGGAATGCATGATGAAGATGAAGCTGTAATTGTTTTGATCATGAATGACCTCGTCTCATGAGACTGTTGGGAATGACTCTCAGCTACTACCACTCCAAAGAATGGTGGAGTCAGAGGCACAGAGCCAGGGACACCAACTCAGACACAGAGTCACAGACACCGAGATAGAGGCACCTCAATGATTTATCTGTCCTCCATCACACTCCGTCATCTGCATCCTCTGTCCTCACTCCAACTACCTCCATCTCCTCTCCAACTGCATCCATATATCTCCTCTTTGTCTTTTTCTTGGCAGCTGCATTTCTAACATCCTTCTACCAATATACCCACTGTCCCTCCTCTGGACATGTCCAAACCATCTCAGTCTGGTACCCTGATGCATGCTCAATAATCCAGGTAGAAAAATCTAAAAAAGTTAAGTCAGGTCCTCTGGACGGGTTCAAAAAAACTCAGTCTGGCCTCTCTAACTTTATCTCCCAGTCCTTCAACCTGTGCTGTACCTCTGATGATCTCATTCCTAATCTTATCCATCCTTTTCACTCTTGAGGAGAACCTCAACATCTTCATTTCTGCCACTTCCAGCTCTGTCTGGTCTTTTTGCCCATGTCTCTGTCTCCAAACCATACAGCATAGCTGTGAGGTTGTAGATGTTTATACAATAATTACTTCTCCAAATTTAATAAAATCAGTTCTGTGATTCATGAAATATTTTACTAACTGGCGCACAGACATGAGCAAAAACATTATTGTCCGCCTTTCGGTGGCAAGTGGTTAAAAGATTGTACAATTGTCTCACTGTCCTTACTGTCTAAAATGTGTTGTCTCATAATTTATTCCAGGTAACCCTGGCTTCTTTTAGTAGAGAGTGAGACAAGTGCTCTACTGCCTGTCTAACGGTTTTATAACCTCCACAAAGCTGAGCTGAATGTTTTCTTACCAGAGAGCTGAGGTTCCACAGCCTTTATGTTGAAGCCCGGAGGAAACAGGTCCAGAGCCCCCTGAAATCCCTCCTCCCCGTCCACACACCTGTCATAGACAAGAGCCGGGTCTGCAAAGGACACAACTCGGCGTCAACAATCAACCGAAAGAGCCGAATACGCTACAGCTGGGTTGTTACATTTAAAACAAGAAAAACATACGCTGAAATGAGAATTACTGTTAAGCTAAAAGCAGCAAACTACACGGAACAAAAATATAACCGCAACATCTTTGTTTGTTGGGAATGGGAGCAAAAACAAAAGTGTTGAGTTTATATTTTTGTTCAGTATAGAACAGAAAAAGATTAGAAAGCTATTTTATTGATTCCCTGAGTAAAGTTGGTTTGTCACAGCAGCAGACAATAAACACAAATGTGCAAAAAAGCAGAAAAAATAAGATATAAAAAATAAACTAAGTTCTAAATTAAAAACATAAAAAAAACCAACGTGGACCGTAGTGGACCGTAATGCTGCGTTAAAAATAAACAGATGCAAGGCTAAAGTTAGCAAAACAGCAGTTAAAAGATTAAAGTAGTAAAACAATAGCTGAAAGCTAAAAATGTAGGACTTCTGATCATCATGGCTACATGATGAGAATGCTCCAAACAGAACCTGAATAATATCCATCCATCCATCCATTATCTTTTACTCGCTTCTTCCTTTTTGGGTCACGGGGGTCCATATCCAGCAGTCACTGTGTGAGAGGTGGGGCACACCCTGGACAGGTCTCCAGTCCATCACAACCTGAATTATATTTTATACTATATTCCGTTTAAGAACACCAACAGAGGCTAATGTCAGGTCGGGGGTGGGGTTCTACTTTTCTAGGGTTTTGTCCTTTTTTAGGGCTTAACCATAGAAAAGTTGAAAACATTTCACCACCTACAGTCAGAGATGACGTGATCAGGTGAACTGATTAATTAGTAAGAAGACCAGGGTTGAGTCCTTCAGAGGGAGCCAAGAGGCCATCATACCTTGGAGGAATGCATATCACCCTTCATCCCAGAGTTTTAAGCCTTATGTTGAAACAATTTTTTAAGAAAACTCTGCGAAAAATAATCGCTGGGTGGAGGAAAAGTGTTTTATGTTTGTGGTTCCAAGTACGTTTTATGGTTTGGAACATGAATCAGCTTTCATGTCATCTTAATGTTGTCCATGGAACATGTCCTACTGTGGATCTAAACGAGTTATGGTTTAATTTTGTCAACCGATTGATTCATGAGGTCTGAACTCCAGCATACAAAGAGGAATGTTAGGCCTTTCATTTTAATATAGGGCCAGTGTTGGATTGTACCATATTGAAAAAAAAAATTAACTAACATTTTACTGAATGAGTTCACTTTCAGACATTTTCCATCTTAACCATTCGAGTGAACTCCTCTGGATCTTCAGCACTTACGATTGCAGAGCTTCTTGAGGGATGTGATGGAGGACAGGGAGGACATGCTCATTGAGCCTTCTTGTAAAGTCTCCAGGGGTTTGGCCTGCCTCAGAAACAGCTTGTAGAGTTCAGTCTGCAGAGGAGTCAGCCTGCAGGGAGTCACAACCGACAGCCTCTTCAATACACAACCAGTCCAAAGTTTGACATGTTACAGAGAAATCGTCTCAGTGAACCATTAAAAAGAAGTCAGTCACTCAAATTATAAATGAGAATGACTCATACTGCCCATCTCTTCTGTTTGGGAATATCTGGTCAAAGGTTATGGATGTTTTTAACTACTATGACTGAGAATGTTAACTCTGCCCATGAATCACGTTTGGGTTAGTAGAAAGCTGGACAAGGAGCTGGATAAGGCAGCTGTGTGCAGCTGGCTCCAAGGTCACCTCCAAATCTGTTGACTGAACTGATAAGAGTATAAAAACAAGCTTCGCACACTGTCCGTGGCAGATTCTTGTGACTTTGCTTCATGCATGTACTTCCTGTATATCTGTGTAACCTGTCCTAAAAATCTGTCCTTGCAAGTAAAAAAACAGCTAAAAATCTTCTCCTGTTGTCGAGTGTGGCTTCTTTGAGCGAGATAAAGTGAGAATATTTTTATGCAACAGTTCGAAGTTATAAGTTTGTTGCCACTTGTGCAGTTTCCCATTCTTACATTGGAACCAACTCCTTGTAGAGATTTTAAAGAATCATCTTTAAACGTGGACTGTGTTGAATTGTGATCACACAGTTGCTGTTTGTAGGTTACTTATTTATCACTGGTGTGGTTTTTAGACCTGGAGATGTTTTCTGTTAGAGGAGAGCTTTAAATACATCTGTTGTTCTTTTGAAACGGGTTGGAGACATTGGGTACAAACTCGAGGGAGGTCTCAGATGTCTCAACCATTCTGTGATTTTGAGAAATCAATTTTGTCTAACAAATGCAACTCAAAAAGGACAATTCAGAAACCCCTGGTAAATTCTCGAGACATTGTGGAAAATTGTCCCAAATGAAAACCCAGTGAAACTTCTTCAAGCAAAGCAGCTTTTTAAACCACATTCACATCTTAGATAAGCAGGTACGCCATCTTACCTGCAGCACACAACCTGTTCAATTTTCACAGGGAGATACTTTGACAGGATATCCGACGTTCTCCTTATCAAACACCTGTTGAAGCAGCACACGCTCACTTTAAACAACCATTTATTTCTGTTGTGAAAAGTTTTCTGAGTCTCCTGCGGGCTCACCTGTTGACAATGCCAATCAGCTCTTTGAGTTTGTCCTCTCCTGTCTGTCGGTCTCTGTCGCTGGCGTCTGCATCCCGACCCTTCAGTATGGGAAGTTCAAATCGCTTCTTAAACTCCTGAGCTGTACCTGCCATCCAGGTGAGCAAACAAAATTTTGTTTCCACAAATAATCTTATTTAGAAGTTAAACAATTTATTAATTAAATACATTAAAAAAAATGTAAATTATAGACATCAATTAAATCAATTTCTCATGACATCCTGTCTGTCACCATCCATCAAATTCTTATATATATATGTTATATATATATATTCTTATATATAATATATGTTTTATATATATATATATATATTCTTATATACTGTATATATATGTAATGTTATAGATAGATAGATAGATTAGATAGATTAGATAGATTAGATAGATTAGATAGATAGATAGATAGATAGATAGATAGATAGATAGATAGATAG